TACCACATGTCTTAAAGACGGTTTCTGTGTGCTCAAGCTGCAGTGTAATTTTATTGCTGGCGCAAATTTAGTAAGCGCCATGAACGATCTAACAAGTCCTCGTGAAACATAACGCGAACACATTGAGTGACACATGCTGAACTAATTTATTATGACAGAAAAAAAACTTTGTTGCCAATGATTTAACTCATATGTCAAGGATGTTGTAATGCAAAGGTGCATTTCAGTGTCATGCTTGCACTGAGCTAATTATTCCAGGCTATTTTATGCAGTTTAAGACTACTCAGGAACTATTTAAAATAACGATCTGGTGACTAATGTGTTTTAGTAATTCAAGCTGTCTGAAACTCTAACGCTCGGTTGTTTGTTTCATTTGAGAAATATTCTTTGCACCCTGTGACGCGGAATTATAACTTGCTAAAAATGTTTCATTGATTTTGCGTCGGTAGACACCAGGTAAAGAAAGAAGGCCCAACAACTAGGAGCCCAATTCACAAGCAAGACAAAACGTTTAGGTAAACAGGATAAAGGTGCATTCGCAGAGAGCACAGAATGATTAAGACCACAGCTGCTAGATTATTACGATGACGTACATGGCCATTGTCTTCAGATGTGAAAAATTGTGCTAACACCAAAGTTTCTGACACTTATCTCCTTTAGATACAGATGTATATTGCTAATGCGATAAGGAAGTGCACTAGTTTGTTCGCTAGAGATCCAGGACACACTTATTTAAAATGCAGTGCGTGTTCGTACCGATTTTCATGTGACTGTGATAAGACAAAAATGTGCATTTGATTCGCGGTAGAGCGAAAGTGAGACTGTTAGTTTTTATAGAGAGCGTAGATGCCATATTTATTGCGAGTGTCAAACACACGTAGCCTTTGGCCCGCAGTGATGTAGATTTCAAGATTGGGACTCGGAAAAGTCCATTTGTGCGTTTCTCACGCAGCGTTTTACTGGAGATTGTGTATCTCTAAAGCTTATTTCTTTTTAAAGCACTTCATCATTTGCCCATCTTTTAACCTCTCTAAGGACCTTTTTATTGTGCACTTTATGTTACCAGAGGGCCTGATGTCCGCAAGCACAGTTGCGGTTGTTTGCATTGCATATCCAGCTTAAGTGAAGCCTGGCGTTTCCTGAAAGAATGATAGCTTGAAGCGTCTTTCTTGAAGGCTAAGTGCCGTCCTTCATATCTACATAATCACTCTTTCCACATATCTCTGGTGTATGTACTCGTTGTTAGTAATATGTGCATTTCGGAAATATATCCTTGCTTTCAAAACCTTGTTCAAATGCCTCTTTTTGAACGTACTGTACATGTAGTGTCTTCAACCTTATGTGACGACATGCCTTGAAATAAATGTGAGCCGACATTCTCCTGGAGATGCTGGCATATGGGTAACTGTCTGTACATTTTCAACTGTCTCAGAATAGTCAATATGAGACAATAGTACCTGTATTTTATTTAGTAAAAGATGTTAAATAATCGTAGTAACTCCTCCCAAGTCAAGTATCCACATATAAGCTGTAAGCCTACAGCGCTAACTTTCCTAAGCTATCCTTCATTCTGGTTAACACATAACGAATGATTGGGCCGCACGAATGCGTGGTATATCTTCCAACGGTGCGCACTATCTGTTGAAAGTACTTCAAGCTTACTTGAACTTGTGTCCAGCAATCAAAGCAATCAAAGTTCATAAGAGATTTTTCGAAAGGGTGCCTTATACAGTTTCAGTTAGCGCACTTCTTTCTTTCCCAAGCAAAGAGAAAATGGCAAATTCACTGCTTTTGTATCAGAATGTATCCCAGCTTACTTTAATCGTCCCACAATATTTTATCTTAGTTTTATAATTGCTTTTTCAAATTTAACGTCCGGGACAAGAATGAGAGCTACAGCTTTCTTTGTCAAGAAGCAATCTCGAAGGCATATCGTCACATTTTGTGTGTTCTCCTATTTTACTTCTATAGCACTGTAACATGTTGCCACGTATGCTATGTGAGCGCCTGTATGTTGTATGATCCTATCTACATAGTGTACTTACCATTCGTCAGGACTTCTTTCAGAGTATTGCATGTTGACTGTTCTTCGGCGTCGTTGTACCCTATGGATGTATTTGGTGTTCTCCAATGGCCAGTTTTATTCTGTAACCTTTGTCTCTGGATCTTATTTCCCCATGAAGTGATCAAGGTGCACTGCTCTGGCACCTTCAGGCACATGTCGGGGTGGAACGTATTCAGCGGTGAAGTTATTGTTTCTAGAGTTGTTACAATTACAGGTACATTGAGCCCCAGTCTCTATTGTTCGTTATCATCACCAACCCTCACTCTACGTAACACCTCCCCACACATTGAGTGAACGCCACTGCGCTGCGCAATATTTTCTACAGAATTTGGTACATAGCAATCGACAGCAATGTCGTAGATTATTAGACCTCATAATAGATCAGCTGGTATTTTCGCAGGTATTTATTGCCTACAAGCCTTGGCACTAAGAATGAAGGTCATATTCCCAACTTACAAAGGCATCAAAGTTCATGTGCAATATGGTTTTACTAGAAGATGCGACAGCAACAAAGAACTATTTGTCATACCTCGAAGGAAGATGGAAATTTGGGTCCTTTAGTTATCGTTCCATACTTCATAAAGGGCCACGGAAGTGTAGTTTCGATTTTTAACCTTTGGCTTTTTCAGGACGAGTTTTCCAAGAAAGGATGCCCGTGGGAGCTTTGTCTGCGGTGTTAGATTCATTCCGAGTGAGAGAATTGTATCTTCAATATTTTATTTGACTGTGCAACCTTGCATAATCTGAACCTACTCTAAAATCAAGGCAAGCAAAAGAAATATTCCCTGCCTCTCGGTAATATTTGCGTGTGTTTTTTTTTATTATGTCGTGGGAATTCGGCTGAAAACCAATCGTAGCGATAAAAATACAGAATTTACACATGATTTTTCTTATCTTGAAAAAGCAATATCTAGAGCATAAAAATCTAATTTTTTATGCGAACTCTTTGGCCCAATGCAAGTTTTAAAATAATATTTAATTAGAAAAGACAAGTAAGTCATTTAATATAATTAAGGAACTGCATCTTCATGTTCCCTTAAAAAGTAAGAATAGTACATGGTACTATAAGTTCACAGCTCCTTTTTTCAATGCAGTGCCTCGTCCAGGCGCTGTAGCTCACGTTGTTATTCCTTCCGTGCTTGGTATGGTTGAAGGTTGGCTAACAGAGCTACTAAAATTGTTTGCGTATATCAGAAGTAAATTCAAATTTAGTTATTTCAAGTTTGAATTGAAAACAGGAAAGTTTGTCTTTTTTATTATCAACCCTGCCTACCGCTAGATATTTTATTTTACATGGTATATAAGCCTTACAGATGGCGGGATTGAATGGCTATAGTTTAGATGAGCAAAGCGTTCACTATTCATTGCCGGTTTTTAATGTGTTTTCCCCATGGCTATTTTCTTTTTTTTTCGTAAATATGCTCCTATTATTATGAGGTTTAACCTACCCAAGAGGGTATGCGCAAAAAGAGTGGGTTAAAAATATATGAGAAACCTCGCCTGATCAACGTTTTTTTTATTATAGTATTTGCCCTATTCGCGCCTTTATTTTTCTACCGGCTGTACACAAAAGCATCACGCCTGTCTGTCATTTCACTTTCGGCAGTAAAGCGGCATAATTGAAGATGCAAGCAGTACCTGGAGTATTTTATTTCCTGGCTCTTCTCTCAGGATGAAAAGTGAGATGACTGGAAATATATAAATATACATTATATACATGCATTTATTAACTCCTATTTATTAACCTTGACGCCAAGTAGTTTTGGAATGTACGATATAATAAAATGATGTTCATCAAAGTTCAAAGGATTGTGTTTTATTCTGGTTACTCGAGTACACAGGTAAGCTGAACGAAATTTGTCTTCATTGTTCTGGTATTGACGCTCGTCTCTGAACTAATTGTATACTTGGTCGATTCAAGCCCTTTTATCAAAGAGACTAAGTACTGGCGAGAACGTTCGATTAGATCCTAGCAGAAAGACAATGAAATATTGGGGTGGAGTTGAACTTCATTGGCGTCTGCGTATGAATATGTTTTCGACAGAGTTTGAAAATAACAAAAGAATTGGTAAGTCGCGCAAGCCCAGTGGAACAGCCGCGGATCTGGATTATAGATTTTATCAATTCACTGTTCACAGTTTCGCAGTCTGAAGCTGTCATGCACGTCTTATTTAGGGCTCAAAGTTAGAGTATGTATATTAATATTCATACCTCCTCTATCTATGCTCGTTACAAGATAAATGATCCACACAATGAGAACTGTTACTGTCTTCGCAGTAGCCAGTGGACCATCTGAAGCCTCGGCGCATGCACGGTAAGATGTCATACTTGAACACGCACCGATGTCAGGCTCCCTGTTTTCAGCATGTGTGGAGATATGTGTGTAAGACTTTGTATTTGCCGCAAGAGTGAAAATTCTGAATACAATACTTTCACGGCGGTTTCCAAGTTAGCATTCTGTGATAAGAGGCTCTGACTGGTGAACTTTCTTTTGTGCCTTAGAAAAAATAGGTTCAAAGAAAATTTGGGTTTCGGTCATTTTAGCGATTACTGTTTTAACCGCAGAGCCGCTTGAGCTTACGGTTAGTTAGTTTGTGCATGGTTAAGACACATTATCAACATAAAGAACAGTTTTGCGAAGCAGTTCATGTGCATGACCACCTTGCTCTACCACGTGAACGCATACTGCTGTGGAGCAGGCTAACATTTTGCCAGCCCAACAACGTTGTCTCCCATTCACAACGCTAGCAACAACTCGTAAATTTTCGTAAGGAAATGCTATAATTGTATTAGCTGTCACATCGCGCAAGCAGCTCTATAAATAAAAAGAGAAAATGGTTGTTTAGATCACTATGAAACGGAATCTACATTTCTAGTGCCACATGTCAACAGCGGCAAAGTGTGGGGAACATGATGATACAATCAGTGCACCACGGTTACACATACTTCAGTGTTTATTCCACGCCACACTTCGTCCAAGCTGGAGTAAGCTCTCTGCCGTGCCTGTAGCTTCAGGCGGCAGTGATCTGTAGGTTCCAGAGTAGCGAACATTTGTACGAGACGAGTCCACAGTGAAAACAAATATTGCGATAAACAACCCTTGTTAGAGGAGCAATAAACTCTACACAAAAATAAAACAACACAAACAGACAAAGAAATCACCGAATGGTGCAAGAAATGAAAACGTACGTATCTGTTATATAAACCCTGAGCGGTGATCGGTCCCTCTTGTGAATACTGATCGCTGTGGCCGCAGAGGTAAAAGTGAAGTGTAATATCGAAAGTTGTATAAAAATTTCGCCTTGATTTTGTAGTCTTATTCATAATTCAAAGAGACGCCATATTCTTCATGAAGTTAATTTGAGTGCCTTACGAAATAGAATTATGATAGGGAACAATGTTGCCGAAAAAGTACACCCACCATAAAATTTTTATAGTTTGCAAAGCCTTTTGGTTTCGCCAAGGCAAAATGACGCTTTGCAACAAAGATCCTATGGTCAATTTCATAGCAACAAGTACAAGGGAGTTCAAAAGTTTCCAAACCACAATCTTACCAATTTCTATGGCAGCATAGCTAGGAACCAGGACTGTACTTCCATGAATCATTATGATTACCACGTCATAAAGATGCAATTGAATCTTGCAGCGTTTCCACTTGATTTAAGTCTGTCGCCCACCGTTGTAACATTTGTGATATTCAAGAATGTTAGGCACGCGCTTAAACTTCACTACACTATAAGTTCTCGCATAGAGGCTCTGTGTTGAAGCGGTCAACGCACTGGTTGTTCTTCGATCTCCTGAAAGAAATATTACAAACATTAAAGACAACAACGTTTCCCCCTCCCCCCAAACAAACATGTGAGAGGCTTACAGGGCTAATTACCTACAAATTTCTTGAGCGCTTTTTTTCACGTTATTCATTAATTGCACACAAAAAGCTTTTGAAACTTGTGCATCCTGCTTGAACAGAACTAAAATATTTTATGATTGGCCTGATGTTGTCTACAAAAGAGTGGGCAACGAATATGTGCATAAATCAATATATCCTTTAGCAGTTGTATGACATGAGATCAATGTGAGATGGCTCATCACCTTAATGAACAAGTCAATGCTGACCGCTCTCTCAGACATGTCTTATGATTTACCTGCTGGTTAAGGTGATAGATTTTTCAACAATGCCTTAATTTGTACCGCACGTATTCTATGTCAGCAGTTCATATATATACACACATACACCAGGAGGCTGTTCAATAAATGCGCCCCAAAATTTTTCATTGTAGGAGAAATTGAATATTTACTCACCCCCTTCCTAATCACTTAACATGTAGCAGTAGCTAACCAACATTATCACATACGAATAATATGACACCAATCATATCAACTAAGTTAAATTCTATTTAGAGGTGCAGGTTGCTCGTGTTATATGAGAAAATCGAACCCCTCCCTTCATAGAGCAGACTGTGTTCTGAAGAGTCGAAGAAAGCAACCTGTGGTAATTACGAAAAACTTGAACTGATTGCTTCAGAATAGCCACTTATGCTTTAGTATACTTACCTGTCTGAAGTATTCATTCGAATGTCCAACAATATAATTTTTTTAAAACTTCCTGTCTTTGGTTCTCCCAGCGAAACGTCCCCGCTAAATCCAGTGTGGCATAGAACACTCGATTAGAAAACATAAAACGCTGCCACATCTTAAGGCGAAAATGATACTATGGGTAATAATAGAAAAAAGATGCCACTCATCGCTCTGTTACTTACTTCGAATTTCCCAGGTGTACGGATTCGTGTATCGTGTCGGGAAGTGCCACCCTGAACGTCTCTGGTAGCAGCAGCATCAGCATTGAAGCAAGTGTCGCGAAGCCAACGAGGATAGCCATTGGCAGAGAGTAACTGGCGTACGTTCGCTGCGTCGAATCGACGTACGAGCGTGTCACACTTCTGAAGACATCTGAATTATCGGCTTGAGATAGCGCAAGTGAGTAGGAGATATCCAAAACAAAAACGTAATAACAATAACAGGGCCTTCTGGATTACAAAAATTAAACAAAGTTTCCCATGCACAGCGTGATGGTAGCTTACTTGGAGCTTTCATAAGGAAGAAAGAATTAGGAACGAAAAGAACCTCAACATTTCTTGCATGTCATACTCAATACGAATACATATGACAAGTCAACTTGTAATGTTGCGTGGAAGTGTTAAAATACCCAAATATAGTCGCATTTGTGTCCCACATTTGGATGTGGAAAGCTTGTATTCCGACCTCCATTGTCATCACCACCTTAAAAACTGCACGCTAATAAAGTGCCATCAAAAGTTCACAGACAAGGCGCAGTAGCTATGAACCTAGGTGCTGATGTGTAATTAACGTAGCACTTTTGTGACGAACATTATCACTCTAATACTCGTTTCACGGGAGTGTAATTAGGAGCTATCACCTATCATGCTGTTATGGGACACATTTGTGTACAGATATTTTCAACTTTAGGGTGCATATTTGTTATTGAAACTTCTTTCTTTAAACGATTGGCCTTTGTTAAGAGAGAAATACCTAATCGAAGAGCTGGAGATGTTTGTCTGGCGTTTTCGGCTCACATGCTACTTTTCGTTCTGGGTGATTATTAATATATATAAACACTTATAAACACATAAGACAAAGAGCCACACACGCACGTATACTAGACTGTTTGCAGAGTTTTTTTTTTCAGGCTTGTGGGCCTCAAGAAAGTCAGTGGGGTTTTCGTGGTGCGTAACCTGCTCCAGCTGCTTTGGCGTGGCTGAGGTTACTTACCAGTTCGAGAAGCAATGGTGCGGTCGAGGACCCGATGCGTGTGCCGACCAAGCAGGCGCTCACACCGAATGTCCGGAACACTGTCGGGAATATTTCGGCAGCGAAAATCCAGAGCAGCGCAAGAGACACGGACGCCAGCATCTTGCCCGCGATTCCGCATATCTGGCGTAGTACAACCCAATCTAGATAAGATTGGAAGCGATGCGTTAGGAAACGGCAACAGAAAATTGCGTGAAGCAGCGACTCCACATAGTCACTTACGTGAATTACTGTGAAGTTCGCTTAAGGATATAGTGGAGACGCCTAATAAACTTTGGTGAACTTTGTTATTGCGAATGAAACACCTCTCAACGATTTGCCACTAAGATGTGCTACTCAAGGTACAATGCTTATGGGCCATGTCGTGAGCGTTAAATATGTGGTGTTGAGAAAAGTAAAATATCTCTGTCACTGCGGTGTGTCGGCTCTAAGCCGATAAGTGGTATCAATTGATAATGTTACGAGTAACTTGTTTAATGTGCTATTTACAGCGCAGAGAACCCGACGAGCAAGATGGCGTCAGACCAGCATCCAACGGAAAAACCCACTTCGTCCTCCTCTTTCATGCAGCCGTGTTTAGCGGCTGTTTTGTATCATAACCCCGGCAGTAGAAGCACCGTCCCAGTGCTAAATTTACGCAGATGATGTCGAAGGGGTAATAGGGCTTTAGCCGAGCCACGTGAACGGTGTCGCTCGGAGCTGACGATGACGTTGTTGGATCGGTTGGAACAAGCTCGTACGTGACGTCTGTCACTTGGCGAACGATACGGAATGGTCCAGTGTAGGGCGACAACAGTTTTTCCGACAGTCCCACACGCCGAGTAGGTGACGAGAGGAGCACGAGAGAACCCGGAGAAAAGTGCACGTCCCTATGGTGAGAATTGTAGAGCTGTTGTTGGCGCGCCTATGAACGCTGTAGACAGTTACGGGCGACTTGGGCGCGCGTGGTCGGCGCGGGCAATGGCTTCACCAGCATATTCAGTGGCCGCAGGTAGTAACGTGTCTAAGGGTAGAGTTGGGTCCCGGCCATATAGTAGATAGAAGGGCGAATATCCGGCAGTGTTGTGACGAGATGAGTTGTAGGCGAACCTCACATACGGCAAATGAATGTCCCAGTCATGGTGGTCTGGCGCAACGTATTTGGCAAGCATATCGGTTAGGGTCCTGTTAAGGCGCTCCGTGAGGCCATTTGACTGGGGAAGGTACGAAGTAGTAAATTTGTGCTTGGTATGGCAAGACCTCAGGATTTCATGAACGACAGCTGATAAGAACGTGCGGCCATGGTCGGTGAGAAGTTTTGGTGGGTGCACCATGCACTAATATTATGTCGTACAGCAGAAAGTCCGCAACGTTGGTAGCGCAGCTGGTCGGAAGTGCTCGTGTGATTGCGTACCGCGTCGCGTAGTCCGTGGCAACAGCAATCCATTTATTTCCCGCTGTGGAGAGTGGAAAAGGGCCCAACAGGTCGAGACCAACTCGAAAGAAAGGCTCGTTGGGAACGTCGATCGGTTGAAGGTAGCCGGCTGGGAGGGCAGACGGCGTTTTGCGACGCTGACAGGGCTCACAAGCGGCGACATAGCGTCGAACAAAGCGGGCAAGTCCAGGCCAAAAAAACCGACGTCGTACCCTATCGTATGTGCGAGAAGCGCCTGAATGGCCCGTCATGAGAGCGTCATGAAGTTGATGCAGGACAGTGGAACGCAGGTGCGCTGAGATGACAGGAAGTAAGTCTGATCCGAAGGAATCAAGGTTCCGGCAATATAGAATCCCGTCTTTCACCAAAAACATTCGTAGGGACGGGTCGCGAGGCGTTGACTCCAGTTTGACAATGATGGCTCGTAAAGAAGCATCCCGACGTTGCTCTTCGCCAATGTTTAACAGCTGCGACACGGAAAAAACGTCCGTGATAGCGTCAGTATCGGTTGCTTCGTCAACAGGGTAGCGGGATAAACAATCCGCATCCTGATGTAATCGCCCGTTTTGTACATTACAGAGAACGTGTACTCTTGAAGGCGTAGAGCCCAACGAGCGAGACGTCCCGTGGGGTCCTTCAGGGAGGCTAGCTAGCAGAGCGCGTGATGATCCGTGACAACACGGAATGAGCGCCCATACAGGTATGGGCGAAACTTGGCGACTGCCCATACAAGGGCGAGGCACTCGCGCTCCGTGATGCAATAGTCGCGCTCGGCTGGAGATAGCAGTCGACTTGCGTAGGCTATAACACGGTCGTGTCCGCGTTGTTGCTAAAATAGCACAGCTCCTACGCCGTGTCCACTGGCGTCCATGTGAACCTGGGTTGGGGCTAATGGATCAAAGTGAGCCGAGATTGGTGGCGTTGTAAGCAATGTCATAAGTTGCGAAAACGATGACGCTTGGTCATGGCCCCAGGTAAACGAGGCGTCTTTTTTCAAGAACTCTGTGAGTGGGCGTGCATGGTCGCAAAGTCCTTAACAAAGCGTCTGAAATATGAGCACAGCCCCACAAAACTGCGGACATCCTTTGTGGTCTTCGGAACGGGAAAATTCGTGACTGCGCTAATTTCTCTGGGTCTGGACGCACGCCTTGAGCATCGACAAGGTGACCGAGCACGGAAATTTGACGACGAGCGAAGCAACGCTTGGAGGCGTTAAGCTTGAGTCCGGCTCGACGAAAAACGTCCATAATAGCTGACAAACGATCAAAATGCGAGTCGAATGTGGGCGAAAAGGCAATGACATCGTCAAGGTAACACAAGCAGGTGGACCATTTCAGCCCTTGGAGCAATGAGTCCATCGTTCTTTCAAATGTGGCTGGTGCATTGCAGAGTCCAAAGGGCATCACTTTAAACTGATAAAGACCTTCAGGAGTGATGAATGCGGTCTTCTCGCGGTCCATCTCGTCGACGGCTACCTGCCAGTACTCTGATCGAAGGTCGATAGTTGAAAAATAAGTGGCACCGTACATGCAGTCGAGGGCGTCGTCGATGCGAGGTAAAGGATAAACGTCTTTTTTGGTAATTTTGTTAAGGTGATGGTAATCGACACAAAAGCGCCATGTTCCATTCTTCTTCTTAACAAGGACGACTGGAGAAGCCCAGGGGCTGCATGAAGGTTCTATAATGTTTTTCGCAAGCATTTTGCCGATTTCATATTGTAATATTGCACGCTTCAACGCCGACACACGGTAGGGGCGTCGGTTTATGGGGGTTGCATGGCCAGTATTTATGCGATGGGTGACAATGGTCGTTTGGCCCAAAGAGTTGCTGGCAAAGTCGAAAATGCGACGATAGCCCTCAAGAACGTGGCAAAGTGCTGCAGCTTGCTCAGACGTGAGGTTCGATGACACCAGTCGCTCGATGTCGGCGCCCCAAGAACGTGATGGAGTGAAACCACTGACTGAGCTGCAGCAATCGTGAACTCTGAAGGGCTCGACATGGTCATCTTGGAGAGCAGTAGTTTGGGCCAGGGAGATACCCTGTGGCAGAACTTGGGTGGTGAGTGAAAAGTTGACCAGTGGAAGGAAGGTGCGGTTTTTCTTAATCGTCAGAATCATATGCGGCACAGCAACCCCATGCGTAAACATCACTGCAGGAATCGGGGCCACCATGTAATCACCATCAGGTACTGGTGGCGTGGAGGATAAGTCGACATGTGTGACAGAGTTAGGAGGGAGGCGCGTGAAACCAATGCAGCAGAGGCTGGTTTGCGGTGGGCTGGTCGGGTCGGAAAAGAGGGGTAAATCGAGATGGAGAGAGCCAGCTGAACAGTCTATGAGGGCAGAGTGCGTGGCTAGAAAATCCATACCGAGTATGAGTTCATGAGGGCAATGTTCGATAACGGCGAAAAGAACGAAAGTGCTTCTCTCCCCAATAGACACTCGCGCAGAGCACATGCCAAGAATTGCGGCAGTTCCTCCATCGGCGACTCGTACAGCTCGGTTGAGGGCGGGCGCGACAACTTTTCTAAGTCGGCGGCGAAGGTTAGCACTCATAATGGACACATGTGCGCCAGTATCTATCAATGCACTGACATTGTCGACAGTAACGTCCAAAAGGTTCCGGTTCAGTGTTAATGTTAATCGAGGATTTCTTACGAAGGTCGTCAACGCAGTTCCACCTCCAGAAGCTGCACGGCCTAGTTTTCCAGTCGGAGATGCTGCGAATAGATCGGGGAGGCAGCACGGCTTTGTGGGGGCGACCGGGACTGACGACGAGCAGGGGACGGTGACCGGTCGTAGCGAGGTCTGCTCAGAGGTGCTGTAAAAGCGGAAAATGTGGTCGGCGTTGATGGAGAAAGTGGTGTGATACTGAGGTGCATAATGGGACGGTGGAGCCTAGCGGCTGCGGCAGTGACGAGCGATATGACCAACGCGTCGACAGTTAAAACTAATGGGCCTGTCATCAAGAGTAAGCCATTCGGACGAATTGCGTTGTATGCGAGGTGCAGAAGGGGTACAATAAGAAGGCTCAGCAGAATATACGGCAGGAACAGGATGTAGGCCGACATTCGAAAGCTCTTGATGAACGACCACTTGTATTAAAGAGATCGTGGTCGGGGAAGGCGCACGCGTCGGTAATGGCGTGGCTACCGGTTGTGCTGCCTCGACCTCTCGACGAATAATGCGTGTAAGGTTGTCACATCCAGGGGCCCGGTAGAAGGCGTCGTCACATGAAGAAGTGGCCGCTGTGTTCGGAAGGCGCACGATGCTTTGGGCTATGCGGCGGGCTTTAGCTTGTGCGAGACGTCGGCATTCTTTAAGGATTGTGTCGATGCTGGAGACGTTGTTAAAAGCCAGCAGGTTGAAAGCATCGTCAGCAATGCCTTTGAAGACGTGGTTAACCTTTTCGTTTTCCGACATGCACTGGTCAGCCTTGGAACAAAGGGCCAAGATGTCAAGAATGTAGGAGACGTACGATTCGGTAGAAGACTGGGACCGTGTGGCAAGAGTCTTCTTCGCAGCGAGCTGACAACCAGTTAAATCGCCAAACAGGTCACGTATCTTTTCCTCGAAGAGATCCTAGCTTGTTATGTCGGCTTCGTGGCTTTGAAACCATGTTCGGGGAGTGCCGTCCAGGTAGAAAAGCACGTTGGCGAGCATGAGCGTGGGATCCCATCGGTGAGTAGCACTGACGCGCTCGTACCGCTTCAGCCAAGTGTCCAGATCGATCGTATCATCACCGAAGAAAGTGCCGGGATCCCGGAGGTGCGGTAGTGTGACGTAGATGGTGGCTTGGACTGATGAGGGCGGCGTAGAGGAAGTACCAGCAGTCGAAGCAGTCGAAAGGTCGCCGATGGTGCGACCGCTGCACGTCTCCATCGAGGTACGGGGGTCGTCTACCTCCACCAATAATGTTACGAGTAACTTGTTTAATGAGCTATTTACAGCGCAGAGAACCCGATGAGCAAGGTGGCGTCAGACCAGCATCCAACGGAAAAACCCACTTCGTCCTCCTCTTTCATGCAGCCGTGTTAAGCGGCTGTTTTGTATCAGTATGTTTGTAAACATGTGTTTGTAAGATATCCATGCTTCTATATTTTTTTTATTCATGAAAGTACCACACTGAATATTACAAAACTCCAGATGATGTTGTTTTGAGAATTGTTTTCAGATCAGATTTCTCAACCAGGGAAGTGAAAGTGTTGTAAGCGTGTGTGATCAGATTTGAGTGCACGTTAAAGAACACCAGGTGGTCGAAACTTCCGGAGGTCTCCACCACGGCGTCTCTCATAATCATATAGTACTTTTGAAACGTTAAGCCCCACATATCAATCAATGAATGAACTGCTATCCGGGGAAGAAAAAAGTGCTAAACCTAATTTATCACCCCATTACACTGAGCTCACGTTCATACCGTGATTCTATTCACCATTTCAGTGAACCTTGGCATTCAGATTTTTTTTCAGCCACCAAGTTTTTTTAGTGCTCAAGAATGACATCAACGTATAGAGATGCAGTAGCTTGGCACAATACAACATATCCACCTAAACGTTCTTTTATTTTGACAGAAATTAGTCAAAGATTTATGCATTGGGACTAGCTCCTCTACAAATATGTATTTATAAAAATTTCTGGTTGTGTATACATAAAACTTCGGCATATATATATATATATATATATATATATATATATATATATATATATATATATATATAAATATATATATATATATATATATATATATTGTGGTCAGCTTTTCTTTTGCTGCAATGCCCAGCGAATTGTCCTTTATGAATGCGAACGTTTTCGCCGAAGCATACACGAGCTCATTCGCTAGAAAATTTCTACGCTCACCCTAAATAAACGCAGCTCTAAACATCTCGAAAGTGTGAATTTATTATTAGCTGCACAGTAACTAGAGGCGCCTTCTTGCCATCATAAGCCTATGCCCTATGGGGATTAACTGACATCGTAACAAATTGAGTGTTGAATGTTTGGTTATTTAAAAGGCCGTCTTATCGTATCTGTGCCAAGGCGCCACGTCATAATCAACGTCACACGTAGGTGTAAATGCATGCCGGACTACTACTTTAGCTCATTAATTCTTTCCGCCCTGTCGAGGTGCTAAATCATCACCCTCGCGGCTTTACTTCCATTTAACGTAGATTTTTTTTTCTCTTTTGATAAACAGTGGTTTAAATTGATGTCACGTCAACTGGGCTGGTTTTCTTCGTACCTCATTTGCATACGCTGCATCTTGCATCTGAGTTATTCTTGAAAGTTTATTTGTAGGGGCCTTGAAAACTGTAGCCTTATAGGTATCTAAAGATCATTAGATATATATTGTGATTTTATTATTTTGTGTCTCTATTTTTACGCTGCCCTCTCCTGTTTCGATGAGCACTCGTGCTTGAGTGGCTAATGAAAAAAAAAGTAAGTTATCGCACCTTGCTTAGGACGCTCACGTCTGATGTAGAAGCAACAGCGAATCGTCCGAAAAAGACGTGACTCACCCAGGGAAAGCGAGCACACTGCAAAAGTGCAGAGTGCGGTGCCGGCGTACACGGCTAACATTGTCGGACGCCTCGTAAACCAGCGCACGGCTGTGTAGCAGACGAGCACCGCTGGTATCTCCACGAGGGCAGCCAGAACAAACGTCAGGTACGGATCTCCGCCCAGGCTCGTGACCGAGAGCTGAAGTCCGTAGAATGTGATCCCACCGGTTACCCTGCTTGACCAAAGCACAGGACAAGAATACGTAACCAGTTGCAGAGGGCCGCATTTTGTGTGTGTGTGTTTCTGTAACTTGTTTCCAGAACAATTGGTAAAATGGGCACGATGTAACGACAAGGAATAAGCCACTTCTGATGATGATGACGCATTTCCAACTAGTTGAGGTAGATTAATTTTACAAGTACCACGTCTAAGACATCAGTCCTTAAAACGAAAGTCAGTGTATTTGCCCACTACACATACATAATGCTTAGGTTGCAGTGGTCGCTTCACCTATCAAGTCCTCAATGGAGAATAGCCATGAAAGTATGAGGTATGCATAAATACGCCTCATTTTTATTGGTTTATTTAAAGCGATTCATATATAAAGTTTGTTATGAGAAAGAAAAACTAAATAAAGGTCACTAATGGTCAATGTATCAATGTTAGATACCAAAAATAAATACTTCATGAGCAATATTGGGAATAAATACTGGTGTAAAGAGGGTTATTGGGCGAACCAAACGGGCAGGTGGGAGATTGGAGATGGTGACAGGACGAGGAAGATGGAGGAGCTCGAGCGCCGATCTCGTGGTGCCTTACTCTGCGATGATGCTTGCTGTTCCCTTTCGTTGTCATCATTCCTTCGTTATAATTGCCCCCGTCGAGAAAGATCAAGCCATCCTGGCGATCTAACAAGTGGGAACGAGCGGGTCGAAGTACGGCTTCAAGCGGTTTACGTGAACAATATCGTGTCCACGCCGACGACGGTCACCGGGTGGCGTAAGCGGTTCAATGGCGTAATTGACGGGCGATGTGCGCTCTACCACGTGGTATGGGCCGTGGTAATTTGAAAGTAGCTTGGTAGACAAACCAGGTGCACAGGGTGGTACATACAGCCATACAAGGGTTCCAGGGGCGAACTTGGCGGCAGGAGGGTGGTCGTCATCGCGGGCCTTTTTCTGGCGTTGCGGGTCAGCCGTAGTAAACTGCTTCGCTAGTTGGCGGCATTCTTCGGCGTGACGGGCGGCTTCAGACACGGTCGTGCACTCAGACACATCTGGTGCGTATGGCAGCAAAGTGTCAATTGTGTGCGATGGTTGACGTCCGTATAATGGTAGAATGGAGAAAAGCCGGTGGTGACTTGGGTAGCGGTGTTGTACGCGTAGGTCGCAAACGGAAGAACCAGATCCCAGTTCGTTTGGTCAGATGCCACATGCGTCGCGAGCATGTCACCCAGGGTCCGATTAAACCACTAAGTCAGGCCATTCGTCTGAGGGTGGTAAGCAGTACTCATCCGGTGTACAATATGGCACTGATGGAGAAGTGCTTGGATTACGTCGAATAGAATACACGGCCCCGGTCACTGAGGAGCTCGCGAGGAGGGCCGTGACGCAACACAAACAGATAGAGGATAAAAGATGCGACATCCTGAGCAGTCGCCGTAGGAAGAGCAGCGGTTTCGGCGTACCGTGTCAGGTGATCTACAGCAACGGTAGCCCACCGGTTACCTGCTGTGGTCAATGGCAGTGGTCCACAAAGGTCGATTCCGACGCGATCGAATGGGCGGTTAGGGCACGCAAGCGGCTGTAGTGGAGCTGCTCCTGCATTCGGTGGCTGTTTTCGTCGCTGACACTCGTGGCAGCCGCGAATAAACTGTCGAACAAAAGTAAACATCCCACGCCAGTAGTACCGCTTCCTTAAACGCTCGTAGGTCTTGAAGACACCGGCGTGAGCGCATTGCGGGTCGGGGTGAAATGATGCACAGATTGTAGAGCGCAGCTTTCGGGGAATATCGAGCAGCCACTTCCTGCCGTCTGGTGAGTAATTTCGCCGGTACAAGAGGCCACCTCGAATGGTGAAGTGCGAAGCCTGGCGTCACATTGCTCGAGTGATGGGAAGTGTCGGTACCCCAGATAAGACGTCCAGAAGCGAAGTTATCCATGGATCGTCGCGCTGTGCCGAGGTCATTGTGTCGATGTCAAGAGCGGACAGCGCGTGTTCCATAGAAGATATAGAGGCAGCCTCAGTCGACAGTGGCGATCGCGAGAGCGCATTAGCATCAGCATGTTGGCGGCCGGAACGATACACGACGCGGATGTCATACTCTTGAAGTTGCAGCGCCCAACGAGCAAGGCGACCTGATAGATCCTTCAGCGACGACAACCAACACAAGGCATGATGGTCTGTAACTACAGCAAAGGTGCGGCCATATAAGTATGGGCGAAATTTCACCATTGCCCAAAGTATGGCTAATCACTCTTTTTCGGTAACAATGTAGTTTACCTCAGCCTTGTTGAGCGTTCTGCTGGCGTAGGCGACGACATACTCAGGAATCCAGGCTTGCGTTGAGCGAGAACTGCACCGAGACCGACACCGCTGGCGTCTGTATGGATTTCAGTTGCAGCCGTGGGATAATAGTGGCGCAATATAGGCGGTGATGTCAGGAGACGGCGAAGAGTGGTAAATGCGTGATCACATTCGGAAGACCATGATGAGATGTCGTCAGCACTGCCTAAAAGTTGGGTCAAAGGGGCAATTATGGAGTCAAAGTTGCGTACAAACCGACGAAAGTAGGAGCACAATCCTACGAAGCTGCGTAACTGCAGTCGTTGGTTTGGGGAATTCAGCAACAGCGCGTAGTTTAGCCGGGTCGGGAAGAACACCATCCTTTGATACGACGTGACCGAGAATGGTGAGCGTCAGAGCAGCGAAGTGGCATTTCTTGAGATTCAGTTGGAGCTGCGCATTCTTCAGACACGTGAGGACATGTTTCAGGCGTACAAGGTGTGTTGAGAAATTGGGTGCAAAGACGACGATATCGTCGAGGTAGCAGAGGCATATGTTCCATTTCAAACTCCGCAGAACCGAGTCCATCATGCGCTCGAATGTGGCCGGCGCATTGCAGAGGCCGAAGGGCATGACATTGAACTCATATAGCCCGTCCGGTGTCACGAATGCTGTTTTTGGACGATCACCATCTGCTAAGGGCACCTGCCAATACCCCGAACGCAAATCTAACGACGAAAAAACTCGGCACCTTGTAAGCAATCAAGGGCGTCATCAATCCTGGGCAAAGGGTATACATCTTTGCGAGTGATCTTATTTAAGCGCCTGTAATCAACGCAGAAGCGAATTGTACCATCCTTCTTCTTAACAAGAACGACAGGTGATGCCCATGGACTTTGGGAAGGTCGGATAACGTCGCGCTTGAGCATATCGTCAACGTGTTCGGTGATAACCTGACGTTCCGTGGCGGAAACACGGTATCGTCGCTGTCGTACTGGCGCGTTGGAACCTGTGTCGATGCAGTGGAAAAAACTGGAAGTTCGGCCAAGGGTAGGTTGAGCTACGTCAAAGGATTCACGAAACTGTTAGAGCAGCTAAAGGAGCTCAGAGCGTTCAGATGGCGATAGTCCGTCGGCAATCGATGAATCGAAAAGCTCGCAAGGTGGTATGTTGGAAGGTTTGAGGGCACTGATGGCGTCGTAGTCACCGGAACAATCTGGCAGCATGGTAAAAATTTGTTCTTTATCAATGGCATGCACGTGTCCAAGAGATTCACCTTGAAACAGTTCGACGGGATACGGAAGGGGATTGATGAGGCAAAGAGCACTGTTTCCTTCAGAAATAGAGGGTTGAATAAGGCAGAAGAAGTGATCTTCGACTAAGGAAGAGGCTTGATGGCTCAAGAATGCAGCTTCGTTCCTAATGCCGTCACAGAACACGGAGAGCAACACAGCTGCTGTCGGAGGAATTTCAATGCCTTCTTTGACGACGAGTTTGTGTACGGCGGGCTGAATGCGGCTGGTTGGTCGGTCGTCAAACGGGAAAAGTTCAAGCTCCGATCTTGCACAATCAATGACGGCAAAGTTACGTGATAAAAAATCCCATGCAAGTATGATGTCAAGTGAGCATGACGAAAGGACAATAAAATCAACGATGTAGTGGTCCTTCGCGATCATCAGTCGGACAGTACAGGCGGCTACAGGCTGAACCGGGTCCCCATTCGCTGTTTGCAACGACATCATATTAAGAGGCGTCGTCACTTTTCGGAGCTTGCGGCAAAGTTTAGCGTCTATCACGGAAACGGCAGCACCAGTATCCACTAGAGCATATGCTCGAGTACCTTCTACAAAAACTTCGACAATATTCGACGGCAATGTCTGAGGACTTGAGCATTTCGACAGCGCAGTTCTTGCCTCCTGAACTGCGGCGGTTAGTTTCCCTCGTGTTCAGGAGCTGGCCGATGACGCATGGGTGACAGAGAGCGACGACGGGGTGAAGGTGAGCGACCAGACATAGTACGCGGACATTCCCGTGAAGACGAGCTTGACTGAGGGTCAGAATTTTCCAGACGGGATGGAGAAAGGTCCATGAAGCTGTTCAGTGTCCGGGCGTCTGTGTATCCCGGCACGCGACGACGGCAGTAACTGGCAATATGGCCAGGGCTGCCGCACGCAAAACAGATGGGCCGGTTATCGCGCGTTCTCCAAGTGTTGGCGACGAGGGGACCAGTCCATGCGGCAGACGGGTGAGTCGAGGCTGTGGTGGCAATGGGAGGAACCCAGGCGGTGGACGGCTGAGTCGGGGCTGAAGTATACGGCAGTCCCTGGAACGGCGGGGGGTGGTGTCGCTGCTGCCGCTTTAGTGCCTCAGCGTAAGTAGAGGCGCGGTGACGGGGGGCTGCTGCAAGGGCACCGGCATAGCCTCGGAAATCTGCTCCTGGACCACATGTCGGAGCATGGGAGCCAATGGTGGTGGGTGTCGCAGTGGCTGTTGGTGCGAGAGCTCCTGGCGTTGAGCAAAAGGCAGCAGAGAAAGCTGCCGAGCCACTTCCTCTCGCACGAAGTCTTTCATTTGTGCGAGAAGGTTTGTCTGGTCAGTCATAGCGTCCAGTGCGGTCACTGGTTGGATTGTCTGGAATGAGCGTCGCGTCTGAGCTTGTTGCCTCCGCAATTCATCATAGGTTTGGCACCAAGTCACTACTTGTGCCACAGTGCTAGGAGACTTCGC